CCAGTAGAATCTCTCCTCCACTCAGTACCACACACAGCTGGAGGTTCTACCCCAGTAAAGACTAATAATGTGGGGCCCAAACACCCTGAACAATGAAAGGCAGAACAGGAGGTCCACAGGCTGCTGTCTTCACCCAATGCCTAGAGCACTGGCTCAGAGAATTTGCCCAGGCTGAAACAGAGTCCTTGAGAACCCAGAGCTCTTCTCCAATTACTTGCTTTTATTAAGCCTTAATAGACATATTTCATAATTATTACCATATTTTATTAGACTTGTGACATAGATACATAAAGGTTGGTGTAAATATGTTTATACCATATTTAATAAAAAGCACATAGATATATAGGATCAATATTTCTAGATAGTACTGGAATTCAGTTAGGGAATTTGAATCTGATAAGATGTATATGGTCAAACCTCAGAATAGGTATAAGAAAAAATAAATGAATGAAAAAAAAGTATAAGGATTTATATCACAATGCAAAATATTCAATGGAAAAGAAAACAGTAGAGAAGGAATAGAGGAAAAAAGAAACAAAACTTATGGAAAAAAAAAACTGGCAAATGCAGATTCAATATTAATTCAAAGACCTTATATGTAAAAGGAATAAACAATCTAATCAAAAGGCAGAAAATATAAACTACATAAAATCTGATGAAACGTGATTTGTATGATTATAAATTTCTGGTGGCAAAGTTAGCCAATTTGAGTCCTTGGTTCTGTGCAAATGGCCACACATTTTTTTTTTTCAACATTTTGTAGCAAGTAACTACCCTAGGCAACCTTACTTCTTTGGGCCTCACAAATGTCTCAACCCTTTTTTTTTTATAGAAAACACACTTATATCATTTTGCAGTATATCCCATCTATCCCTCAGTGAATCTGATACTGTGGGACTTCAAAGATCATAGATAGGGGAAGGGCTCAGGGATATTGATCTTGGAGAGCCGAGAAAGTTTATGCCTATCAGACTGGGCCTGCCATGGAGTGTGGGGCAATATGAAAGTTGGTGAAGTGAAGTCAGTCTGTAAACACAGATTAATTGACCCTGAGAAAACATTTAGTCAGTGACCTTTCTTGGTAAGGGGGTCTCCTTCTGCCACTTAGCATACGATTTCAATAAAGGTTAGCTTTTTCATTGCTGTGACTTAAAGATGTGATAAAAACAATTTTACAGGAGGAAAAGATTATTTGAGGACTCACAGTTGCAGGGGTCCTGTCCATAGACAGCCTGTTCTATTCCTTAGGCCTCGAGGTTAGGTAGAACATTATATGAAAAGAGTGTGACAGTGGGAAGCAGCTCACATGATGATGAAAAAGAAAAGAGAGAGATTCCGTTTACCAAATACAAAATACATACCCCAAAGACATCCCGTGTCCTCCATACATACCCTACCTGCCTTTAGTTACCACTTAGCTAATTCCACCAGGGGATTAACTCACTGATTGGATTCAGACTCTCATAGCCTCATCATTTCTTCTCTAAACCTTCTTGCATTTCTTCACACATAATATTTTGGGCAATACCTAATATCTAAACCATAAAAAAGTTAAAGCCACTATTTTTGGCTTGTAGTTTCCCATAGGCTGGGCATCAGAATTGCCTAAAATTACAGGGAACTCACCTCTGTTTATTTTGACTTTATTCTGAGATTAAGTGTGTGAGTAAGTATTTATTTCTGGACTAACCAAATTGTTAACATTAACCTTAACAATATTGGAACAAATTAGTTGTCTTTGATTTTGGAAAACATGTAAGTATTTAGGATCCAGGGGATATGAAACCTGTAAGGTGCTCTCAAATATGTCTGTTAAAACATTAATACATGTGTGTACATGAAGTTAAAAATGAATGTGGAAAGTATTAACAAGTAATATATTGGAGAGGTATTCTAAAATGTTCTTAGAAATGTATGATAAATTTAAATTTAAAAATAATATAAAGTACTGGTTCTTGTCTGTCACATTGGAGAGTACCTAATATAAATCATGCACCAAGGTCTACCTACACAAGAACAAATAACTTTTAAACAGGAGGCAAGAGAATGTCTTTTATCATTAAAAACTCCTCAGGGACAGAATTATTTTATTCCTTGACCCCATCACAATTTTTATCCATAAAAATGAAATTTCCAGAAAATTAAACACATAACAATATATAGAGTTAATAAATTTAAAATATTTTCTAAAAACTACCACATTCTTGCACAACATTCATGATACCTAAAATGAATGAATTTTATGGATGAAGTGGGTGAATTTTTTAGCATGTAAATTATATCTCAATAAAGTTTATGGAAGGTGAAGTACATTTTAGCAAAGTGGGAACTTACTGGAGCAAGTTCCAAAATCGCCCACAGTGTGTACTATTTCCTGAGGAAACCCCTTATAAATGTTTACAGTTCTAATATAAACATATTTGCTTTAAGTATCTGAAATCTGTGTTTATATATGTTCTCTTCTTCAGTCCTACCTATTCCCTCAAAACATAACAAGTAATTCTGTCACCCCTGCACGTGTGCATTTCTACCAATTTAAAGTCAGCTAATGTATCTTGTGTCTTCTTTGGGCTCCAAGTGTCCCTACTTGTCCTCATCACTCCTCAAAGCCTGTTGAATCAAGTCTCTTTACAACCCTGCTTACTCTCTGTCTTTTGGCAAGATTCTGGAGATCCAGAAATGCTCACAGTCTCATCCTCTTCAAATACATCCAACAAGTTACTTTTCTAGGGATTAAATGTAAGCCCCAGTGACCCTGCTCAGCAGTGTTGATCTCCCTTAGCATGTGGCCTACCTCCTTAATAGTATGTGTAAGGCCTTCTTTGAACTAAATCATTCATCTTGTCATTACTGTTCCTCTCAAGTATTTTCTGTAGCAATTACTAACAATGTATAATTCTCCATACTACTTTCACAGGTCTGCTAGTGTGGTTGCATTGCTCTCTAAAATACCATCTTTTCCCCTTCACTTTGGTTATTTCAGTCTCTTTTTCAGGATCATTCCTCCATATCCTTCTAGTGCCACCAAACATCATGCACAGGATGTCTTGCCTGAATCATTTGATTTTACACTTGTTGCCTTTTCTTGGCTCTCCTATGGTCTTCCCTATCCCTCTATCAGTCATTAAGATCATGTGTTGATATGTGTAACCCCAACTCTTGTTTATTTTACTTCATTATCATGTTTCAACTCTAGCAAGGTGTCTACTGCATGGTGTACACTCAGCAAATATAATGAGTTGCATGATTGAGCATAGTATGCATTGATAATTCTTTTCAAAATGCTAGCTGATAAACACATTCAGTCATCACAATTTTCTTCTTCAATTAAGCATATATTTAGTTGTATAGAAGTACTTAAAAGGACTATTGTGAGACAATGTTTTCTTGTTCAAAAAAGAACATGCTACAGAGAGAATTAGACTTATTATATCCTCATGCTTCCTGACTTTTAAATGTAGCTTATCTTCATTTATATTTTTGAGAGCATTCCTATAAGACAAGCTATTACACTGAAATCACATGGCTTCAATGCATTCTCACACCTCAAATCAACAGCCGTGATATAAAAAGATTAATAGCACGGTTTATACCCTGTTCCATTACATTCAGTAACTTCAGGTGGGAAAATCAATTACTAACAAATATTGACAAGTTAAGTTTATAAATCTCATTTGTAAAGGCAAACAAGTTTTGATCTCTGACTGCAGTGACATGAGAACTACAAACTTATCAGAATAATAACAAGCTTGCCAGAATAATAACCTGCTCTTTGGAGATACACTTCCCTTAACTGACTTTTCATGATGAACACAGGATCACTTTTTGTGGCATGGGTATTTCAATGGGCCAGCTGCAATAATGTCACCTGCTCTCAGCCACTGTTATGAACCTATCTTTTGTTCCCCTGCCAGAAACATAATGTTGGTAAATGTTCTGTGCGTCACACCATATGATTAGCAGAGCTCTTCCTTATAATATCCCTTGTCAATTTGGTAATAATACAGAGTGATGATCATATGGGGATCATTACTGACTTGTTCAAATATCAGCATAAAACATTGAATCTATGTAAACTTGGACAAATTCTTTCTTGTTTCAATGGTTTCATTTCTATAATTTCATAAGTGGAGAGATTGATAATATATTTTATAGCTACTGTATGAATTAATTATAATATTTATCAACATCTAGAGAAATATGGCAAGCTTTAAAAATGCTAACTCTTGTTATTATAATTGATAACATATCAGTTCATGTGTTCACCATTTCCTAACAACTTAAGTGAATGCAATTTCTGTTTTGTTATTCATTTTCTTGGATGTTCTACACCTATTGCTTCACATAAGTCAGCAACATTTATTACCAAATATGTCAGATAATAAAAACAATAAAAAGACATCATTAGCCAAGGTCACCACTTCTTTTTGAAAGTTGTCCTGACATATAGTATAATAAAACAGCAATGGCTCTTTTATGTTTGTATAAAGAAAAATATTTTTGTACAGTCACCAAATTGTCAAAGTTTTTCCTTCATTTTCCATAATGTGATTTTTCCCCTGTCTATGTTAACATCAAGATTCTACCTCAGTTCTGGCATAGATTTTTGTTGTTGTTTCCAGAAGTCTCCCTCATCCAAAGCCCTTTCACAGCCACTGTTAAGGATTTTTTTTTTTTTTTTTTACTGCTCAAAAAAGTTTAATATTCAGCAGGTTAAGGAAACCCATGGTCAGCTTTAGAATTTCGGTCTCTGCTGAGCTTTCAAGGTGTCAAGACCCTAAAATAATATGAACAGCAGGAGTACTAAATCTTTCATTATTTCCAGTTTCCCCTTGAGCATACTGACTTTTCAATAAAGAAGCTGTCATTTACACTCTTCTTTATTGCAAGGTGGGTAATAGCTACAGGGAGAAAATAAGGAACTGTGTCAAGTTAGCCTAACTGCCATTATGATTAATGTGTAATCATTGCACATTTGCATTTACTCTTTTCACATGCAGGTACTTCATAGATTGGAAGAGTGATGGGGACAGCTACTTTACAATAGATGGAACAGAAGGAACCATCGCCACTAATGAATTGCTAGACAGAGAAAGCACTGCACAGTATAATTTCTCCATAATTGCGAGTAAAGTTAGTAAGTATGGCATGGACAGAATCAATGTTATACCGCAGTTCTTTGGATTTAACACTTTTAAATGAGTCCCTGCTGAGATGTTTTTCATTTTTGCAATGACAGCTGAGTGGTCTCCCAGGGAAACTCAGAAACCTGTTCCTTTTCCTCCTAGCATAAGTCCAGAGATATTGTGACAGCTGCCAATGAGCCCTGTTTGCAGGATCACATGAATACCTAGAAAAGCATTTCATTGTGAGGTCTCATCGTTTTCACTCTGTACTCTCAAAAAGTCACCAGAGTGACAGCTTTTCTGCCATGCATGATCCTTGTGTCTATATCACTAAGAGTTTCATAGGCTGGTCAAGAAGAAATAATAATCAAATAAAATTACTCACTCTAAAATATTTTTTTAAATCAAGAAGAGCATTTAAAAAATCATCTCCCTGTCTCTGTCCTGTAACTAGAATATATTTTTAATGAATGTTACTGTGGAATACACTTTTAAGTGCAATTCTGCAAAGAGCTGCAGAGAATCCCTAGAATTGTTTGTAATTGTTCCTTGTGTTGATTTTGTTGATTTCTGCTTGGTCCAAAATAGAATCCTGTCAACTGAGCTTAATTGTAGTTCTTACGGTTTAACAGTATAATAGAGAATGTGATAAAAATTTCTTTAAGTAATCAATTAGAGTGGAAATGTGACAATTGACTCTTTTTACTTGGTTGTTTTCAACAGAAATGCATTTCCCTAGTTCTTCTGCTTATGATTTCCTAAAAGTTTTGGAAAATCCCTTCTAAGTATCTTTCATTTTGTTTTCTCATTTGTTTTGTGCATCTGGTGCAAATTTATAACACTTTTGCAGCTAATTTCACCTTTCAGATCAGAAAGAAGCTATGAATAGTTCTGTGGAGGGGTTTTGATCAGTCTCAACTCGTTGGGGGCATAAATGTGGAACAATTTTGTTTATCTTTAACAACTGCGGCTCAGCATGAACAGTCAGATACCTTACCCCATGCCTTTATAATCTCTTTAGCCAATTTCATGACTTTCAGGTAACTATTGATTGCTAAATAACTACTGCCTTGTTTGTTTCAACACTTAACTCTTAAAATTTCAACCTGTCATGTGGAAAGTCTGGCTATTCTGAGGCTGCCATAAAAGAGAGATCACCTGTTGATGCTCAGATCACAACTGCAGCTCAGTTCATCCTTCCAACACTACATGTCAGTTGATGGTTATGTCAGTCTTGAAACCTCTCATCCAATCTACTTTCTAGATGAATTCCACTTGCTAGATGAATATCACAGTGTACTCCCCATTGCCTTGTGAAACTAATATTAACTCATGGAATTGTGAGAAACATGAAAATGTTATTTTTTACATTCCAGGTCAAGGTTGTTTTTTGGTAAAATGGAAATAAATGACTGAAGATTACAAAGAAACCATAATTTGTATATTTGAGAATGTGGGGATAAGGATATAGATATTCAGGTCTCTTGGGATGGGAGGGAAGGAAATAAAAATGCATGAATTCCTCTTATCTGTTCCACCACTTTTAGCATTGAGTTGCACTGATAGTAAAGGTAAAAGTCTGAAGGCCAATTATTTTCTTGTGTGATTTGATTCTTTGAGGTTGGGGGCTTTTGGAGACATTTGCATAGGAATCAGATACCACCACACAATGGTAAACCTTAGACTTTCTTAATTTCCTCTTGATTGTCCAGCAGCCTTCTTGAGTGAGTTAACAGTATAATTTCTCCATGCCAGTTCCTATCTGCTATGTCCACTGTACCCTAAGAAAACTCAAAAACTCTTGCCAAGGTAAATTGCAGGCTGTTCTACTACAGTGTTTTATTCCTTGTCATTTTTGTTCAGATTGGACCTTCTTGCTCAGCTAGACTCAGACACAAGAGTATGAAGTGAACTACTTGAGCGAATGTGCTATTGTAGAGTTGAATGCCAGTCACCTTGTCTTGGTGGACCCTCCACCTGCATTCTTTGTGTACTGTTTGCTATAGTCTCGCTTGCAGTGGACATCTTTCTTCCCTTCTGTTCTGTATCTGCTGTACTTGCATATGTTAATTCTTCCCTTTTGATAACTTTCAATGATTAATTCCTATAGAATTTTGAGGACAATTAATTTATGAAAAGTAGTTTCCTAAACTATTTAATACAAAACCATTGTGAGTCTTGCTAAAATCACTTTGAAGTATGAGTAATAGACCCCTGCCTTACCTCAAGCTAAATGTTTGTGGATAATCCATTGGTAATCTTTACCATACTATAAAAGTTTTCTTTCTCCCAGTAGCTACAAAACCATGGTAATGGTGTGAGAATAGTCATAAAAATAATGTCCAGGGCCTCCTTTTAGAGCCTTGAGCTTCAACTACTTGAAACAGGGAAGAAAGTATAAACCCTTGTGTGAAAATAAAAGTCTTCAGTCACTGAAAAATTAGATTTCCTAAATTTTTAGAACCATATTTGGTTACTTATCTCTATAATTAGTGCACATGCTCTCCCAAATTGTAAGCTGTAGATTTTAGCAAAATACGAGTTAGGAAATCCTAGTTTATGGATAACAAGTAGTTTCTTAGCCCTCATAGTCAGCACTGGAACTTAGGTATATAACATACATCTGTACATATGTATCTCATGTGTCCAAGAAATCAATTTTCTCAATAAACCTGCAGGGTATTACTATCTACAGTGTAGGAGCAAAGGAATTCAAATTGTTTATAGCACTGTGTCACACAGCTAATGATGACAAACCTAACATTGGAGCCCTGGACTCTTTTACCAAAGTACATTTTGTGGATTGGGTGCCAACAGTTCTATAGCCATGCTTATTTGTGAGAATCATGTGGGTTTTATATACTCCTCTCTCTCTCTCTCTCTCTCTCTCTCTCTCTCTCTCACACACACACACACACACACACACACACAATATGAGAGTAATGCCAAATTAATATTCCTAAAACAGACTGACCATCAATTCCATTTTGAGGAATTCAGTATCTCTTCAAAGACGATTGAATGGATATCAGACCCATCAAAAAAGTCTTCTAGGACAAAATAAAGATGCCAAAATATCATCACATGATAATTAGAGATTCCATAATAAAAGCTAATTTTGAGTCTTTATTTTTTGCCAATGAACTTTTAAAGTAAACATTATTCATATTCCAATTCCTTATGCTGACCTCATTGATTAAGCTATCCCACTGATCAGATATTATTATCATAGTGAATGAATGAGAAATAAATACCCATTACTTGCTCTTGCATGAAGAATGAAATTGTTTAAGTAGACCAAACTGCAGTTTGAACTAGTATATGTTTTGACGTGACTCTTCTATTAAAAACTCTCAGGTTAAGTGAAATGGTACAATGATAGAACAACTTTAAATTAATTAAAAATCAGTCATTTATCAGTGTTGCTATAGTCAGAGGTCCAAATAATTTTATTAGGCTCCTAATAATTCTCTTTGATTTACTTATTTGTTATTTTTATAATATTAACCTCAAGAATTTTAAAAGAGAGGGAAGCTTCAAAACTTCACCTAATTCAAATTATCAGAAAAATTCAACAGGCCAATATATCTAAATATTTTGGTATTAATGTAACAAATGCCATTAGTTAAAGAGGGCAAGTGACCATGACACTGAAGTCCTATAATTTATTTCATATTTATAATATATACAAATTACATAGGAGACAATTTTCTTCTTATTGATATTTAAATAATGACATGGATTGGTTTCATTTATTATGAAATAAGTAAAAAAAAATCAATGAACTCTTTTCCTAAATGCTATTTTTGTGAAATTTCATATATATGTGTAAGTTCATGAGTTGAAATTTAATAGTTTGGTAATCAATTTTTAAGGTTTCTGCATGAAGATATTTTTTATGTTACATCTTGTTTTACTTAGTGTAGAACATGTGATATGATTTTCATATGTACAGAAAAATCAAGTTATAAGATTTTTTACTATAATTCAAGCTCAACATGAATTATGCATTTATTTTTATTCACTATATTAAGAACCATTTGTGCAAAGCATCATTTGTTGTAAATTATGAGAAAACTATAAATAGTGTCAATTCTTAAGGACATTGCAGTGAAAGTATAGATAGAAATTAACCAAATTGTTCATAACCAACTTGAATCTAATGTATGAAATATGTCAAGAGCTTTATAATGTTTTGAACAACCAATAAAAAAAAATAAATTAAAAATAAATAAATAAATAAATAAGAAATTAACCAAATTAATGAATTATAATAAGTTATAATAGTTAAAATTGTGCTTAATTCCATAAAATTCATATTTAAGTAAACACTAGAAAGAAGTTGCAATGGGTTGACTGACCACTATGTGGTTTTAAAGTGATGAAGGATTTAAGTAAAAATAAATGACCTTTTGGCAGAATATTCTTTTTAAAAAGCATTTTTTAGATGTAAATGGACACAATACCTTTATTTCATTTATTTATTTTTATGTGGTTCTGAGGATTGAACCCAGTGCCTCATACATCCTCTGTCACTGAGCCACAGCCCCAGCTCCTGGTAGAATATTCTGAAATGATTCTCTGTATGCCAAAAAAACTAGCTATGAAATTATATTCTCAGACAAGGTGAAGTAATAATAAAATAGTTAAACTATTCTAAGACTTGTATACCCATTAACTCATATGGTCCCCTTTGATAATACTGCAAGGTGAATATTACTATCCATGGTGTAGGAGTGAAGAAATCAATGCCTTGAGACATTTCTTCATAGCCCAGCACCACACAGCTAAAGAGGACAAACCTGGGATTGGACCCTTTGACTCTCCAAAATACATTCTAGGACGCGTATCCACTAACTTCTGCTTCCTTCCTTTATTTTAAATGAGCAATAACAATAGTCATGGTAATTTTCAAATGCATTTTGAATAAAAAATATAGTACAGATGTTCTGTAAATGGGCTGGCTATGCCACAAAAACAAACCAGTATCACTTTTTCCAAAAATAGATGG